ATGAAAAGATGCTCCACATCATATGTGATCAGGGAAATGTAAATTTAAAAAAAAATAAGATACTGGTACACAACTACTAGAATGGCCAGAATCCAGAATTCTAAAAGCAGCAAGAAATAGTAAGGAAGTGGAGCAGGAGGAACTCTCTCTTACTCATTATTGGTGGGAGTGCAACATGGTACAGCCATTTTGAAATACGGTTTGGAGGTTTCTTACCAAATTGAACATACTCTTATCATAAGATCCGGCAATCCACTTTTTGATATTTACCCAGAGGACCTGAGAATGTATGTCTACACAATAACCTGTCCAAATATGTTTATAGTGACTTTGTCACAATTACCAAAACTTAGAAACAATCAAGAAATTCTTCAGAGATGAATGCATAAATAAGGTGTGGTACATCCAGACAATGGAATATTATGCAGTGCTAAAAACACATGAGTTATAAAGCATCAAGAGACATAGAAGAAATTTAAATTCACATTACTCAGTGAAAGATGCCAATCTAAAAAATCTACATACCATATCATTCCACTATATAACATTCTGGAAAAGGCAAAACTATAGAGATAGTAAATGATCAGTGGTTGTCAGAGATTGGAAGTAGTGGAGGGATGCATAAGTGGAACAACTAGGATTTTTAGGGCAGTGAAAATACTTTGTATGGTACTATAATGTGGATACATGTAATTGTACATTTGTCCAAATGCACAGTATGTATGACATCAGAGTGAACAATAATGTTAACTATGGACTCTGGGTGATAATGATGCAGTCATGTATGTTCATCAATTTTATCAAATGTACTACTCTTGGGGGTGTTGTTGATAATAGCTGGAACCATGCATGTGTTGGGGCAATGGGTATGTGGGAAATCTCTGTATTTTCCTCTCAATTTTGCTGTGATTATAAAACTGGTATAAAAACATAAGGACTGGAAAAGAAGCATAAAAGAAAATGGATTAGGAAGAAAATAATTTATAGTTCTAATATTAAAACCCAGACATTAACAGTTTGGCACACTTTCAATATTTTTTATTTGTATAAAGTTTTATACTTTACATCAGCATAATCATTCCTTCCTCAATTTTTAAAATGGTAAAAATGGTTATGCCCTTTGAAAAATATTTCAATTTAAAGAAATGCTTAACTAAAAAAGGAATACATATTTAATTGGAACTATATGTATGTATTTCTCTTACATTCGGGAGAAAATTAATATACATTTTATAAAGCCATATGCTATACACTTTCCATATGAAAACATAAGAGGTATTTCCTCTAGCATATTCTATCATATAACTAATATCATTAGAGCACCTACCTCCTTTTCCAACATCAAGCCTTCTGCTCTGAGGTTCTTTTCAAATGTGTTTCTCTTGTCATATTGTATATTTGACTTTCTATAAACCAGGATGTAATCAATCCGCTTTTTGCCATCTTTGAATAGAAGTCCACTGGATGCTATGTAATTCATGTCATTCTGCAAACAAAGCAAAGATTGTAAGTGTGGGTTAGGCGAGCACACACACTTTGGTTTCACTCACTTCTGCTCGGATACTGGCAATCTAATATAAAAAAATGTATTTTTTTACATTCCAATTATGAAATATGGAAAGATGATTAAATAAAGTTTGTAATATTTTATATGCAACAGCTACCAAATGATGTTCCAGGACCTGAAGTTAGGCAGACTCATACCAAAACCTGGGTTCTCTGCTGTTGGCATCAAAAGGCATGTGTTTTATTCAATAAGGCCCTATAAAAATAGTAACAGCTAACCTATGTTGAATATTTACTCAACATCAGGCCCACACATAAGTGTTTTATCTTATTTAATATAACTTGCATTTCAAAGATAAAAACACTAAGGTATAAACAGTAAGTACTGAGAACTGAAACAAACATAATTTCCTATATTAAATAATACTCAGAACAGATGTTATTTTCCTAAACCCATGTTCAACAACGTTAAACCAAACAGTAATTCCTGAGCTGCTTGTTTCAAGAAATATTTGCTCTTAGAATCTGAGACTGTGTGTGATCCAAGTAAAACAGCTTTCTTATCCAGAACAATCGCTTGCTCATCAAGACTGCTTAAAGAACTTTGATTCATTGTGCCCTCCCACCCAAGCTATTTTTACTTTGCCCACCTTTCCACCAAATTCTGGTCTTGTAAGAATTATCTTAAAAATTACCCAGCCCAAATCCTAGAATCCTTTGAAAACTATTCCATAACTTCACTCATTTGAAACATTGCTGAAATTACCTAGGTAGTGTTCTTAATTGCTGTAACTATAATAAAATCAACTTTATTGATCAACAGATTTTCCTGATGGTTCTTCTTAGGAGGAAGGTTTTACCAGTTTATGGCCCAAGATCACTGAAGTGCCATATTTGAATCCAATTTTATCTGACTTCAGGTAATCCTAACTATTGTTTACGGCACTACTTCCCAACTTTTCCTTAGCTTTTAACACTACAGGATATATCCGTAAATGTTCTTTTTTAGTTGCTTGTTTTCAAACCTTATGTAAATGTAAATATACAGAAAATAATCCTTTGTGTTTGGTTTCTTTCACGTAATATTATTGGTGTGAATCATCCCTAATTTCCATATATTTGTGCTTTAGTTTTTCATTGTTAGATTATATGAATACAACAAACTTATTTATGCTTTCTATTAATGATGGCTATTTAGGTGGTTTCCAGTCTTGGCTGTTATAAAATAAAGCTATAATAAACATTCATGTACATATCTTGCAATACACATGTGAATCATTTCTATCAAGTATGTACCTCAGAGAAAAAAATGATGATTTACTGGGAATGTTTATTTTCAACTTTGGTAGATAATAGTAAACAATATTAATTTCAATCAGTTTGAATCTCTACCAGGAGTATTTAAGTTCCCCCTTAATTAACATTTTTACAGTCTTTGAAAAATACATATATTATTATTATATTTTAGCCATTTGGGTGGAGGGTTGCTTAATAGTACTTTATTAGGGTTTTAATTTGCATTTCCATGATTGCTGATGCCTTTTCTAATGATTTGTTTGTCTATAGGTATTCTGGATAACCTATAGATCTTTGATATTCTTATATATTCACACTTCAATTGTCTGTCTGTGCCTGGACTTTTCACTATTTTAATGGTGTTTTGAAATATGCAGAAACTTTTTAATTTTAAAATAATCTGATTTAGTGATTTTTTTTTATGGTTCATGTTTTTGTTTCTGTTTAAGAAATTCTCCCTATTCCAAGGTCATGAAACTTTCTTGTCCGTTATCTTCTAGAAGATTTATTGTCTGTTCTTTAACATTTAGAGTCAAAGTCACTGGAATTGATTTTTTTGCATAAGAGGTGTGATATGAGTCACATTTTATTTATTATTTCCATGTGGCCATCCAATTGTTCCAGAAACCCTGTAGTAAAAGATCTCTTCCCTCATTGTTGCAGTCCTGCTTTTATCCTAAATCTAGTTTTTATATATGAGGATATTGAATATGATAAAGATATTTTCCTTAACATATATATTTGTGGGATGTTCATTGTTCATTCACCAATACTTTGACTGTTGACATATTCTATTTGCTATTTATAATAAAGCTATAATAAACATTCATGTGTATGTCGGAGTACACATGCGCATGTATTTCTATCAGGTGTTTAACCAACTGGTTCACAGGAAATGCTTATTTCCAACTTTAGTAGTATGCCTGTCTTGACTTAGAGTGGAGCCTTGTGTATACTTTTCCCCAAATATTTCTCCAACAGGCTCTCTTCTAAGATCTCTCAGGTTTTTTTCAAGTAGCTCTGGCTAGGGTTTTTATTTCTGTACAGAAGGATGCTCACATAAGTATCTGGCAGCTGAATTCACTTCCTGGAGGGCTCCGAAGGACTTTTCAGGGATAATTGTGAAGGACATTTGGGATCTGTTTTCTTCCTACCTGAGTAAGCACCTTTAACACAGGAAAAAGAAATAGGACACAAAGGCTTCTCTTATTTCAAAATGAAAAAGAATCTCTGATCTAAGTCAGTGTTACCAAATTTCACAATCAACTGGAATACAAAGTACGTATTTGGAATGTGGCACTCTTTTTTGACCACTGAAGTAAAGCCTGAAGGACAAAATGTAGAGATGTAAAATCTTCCTAGGACTGTTTCAGAAGCAGGACATAAAAACAGAAAACAAAGGCTGTGATTACAGCAATGTGGCAAACAACATACTTTCAAAACTATCATAATAAAACAGCTAGAAATGATAGACAAAGTAAAACATATTTTGAAATTTATAGAGAAATTAGCAGTAAAGTATGTTAAACTCTAGCTTCCCCATAAAAAGAAAGAGTTAGAAAACCATAACACATGGTGGCAAATCAATAATGCGGCTGCTCTCAGTAGGACCTAGAAATCCATGAGGAAAAATAACATCAGTGGAAACACACATTTAAACATTTAAAAATAAAGCTTCTAAATAATTAATAAGCTATAAAATAAAACTCGGTGAAAGCTGGAAAACATTCAAAGTGATAATAAGGGCTCTTTAATAAATGATGCTGATTGAGATGAATTGTATATACATATGAAAAAAATGATCTGATTCCTACATTAAACTGCATTCAAACATTAATTCTAGTCTAGAAATAAATACATACATTTATAGTCAATTGACTTTCAACAAGAATGTTAAGGCAATTTAATGGGGAAAAATGGTCTTTTCAATGGATGGTGCTAGGGCATCTGTATATACACATGCAAATAAGTTGAACCCTACCTTAAGCCATGCAAGAATTAACTCAAAATGATCATAGATGTAAATGTAATGAATAAATCTATAAAATTATTAGACTAAAACATATAATTAAATATTTGGGACCTTGGGTTAGGTAATTATTTCTTAAATACAACACCAATAGCACAACGGTAGCAAAAGAGAAAGAGATAAACATCTGGAACTATATAAAAATTAAACAGTTTTGTGCAGCAAAAAAATGCCATTAAAAACGTGAAATAGCAAACCATAGTGTGGGATAATATTTAAAAACCATATATCTGATAAGTACCCACAATATATAAATGGCTCAATGACAGAAATACAAATATCCCAGTTAAAAAATGGATAGAGGATTTGAAGAGAGATTTATCCAAGGAAGATACAAAAATGACCAACAAGAACATTCAAAGATTCTCAACATAATGAAAATTCTTATGGAAATGCAAGTAAAAACCACAGTGAAATACCACTTCTCACCCATTATGGTGACCATTATTAAAAGGACAAGAATTAAACTGGTATTGGAAGTATATGGAGAAATTGGAACCCTTGTAGATCACTAGAGGGGATGTAAACTAGTGAAGAAGCTTTGGAAAACAGTTTGACAATTACTCACAGTATTAAACATAGACTTACCAAATCATCAATTTCACTCTTACGTGTATACCCAGGAGAAATGAAAACACACATTTCACACAAAAATTTGTACATGAATATTCATAGCAGCATTATTCATAATTACAAAAAAAGAGGAAACAAAGAAATGTCTACATGATGAACACGAAAGCAAAATGAAGTATTGTCCATACAAGGGGATATTATTTGACATTCAAAAATAATTAAATGTCAACACATGGTATAACATACATGAACTTTGAAAACATACAAAGTAAAAGAAACTACTCACAGAAGATCATATATTATGTGATTTCATTATATCAAAGTCAATCGTAGGCAAATATACACAGAATATAGACTGATCATCTCCCAGGGTTGGAGGAGAGGGTGGAACAGAAAGCTGCTGCTAATGGATACAGGGTTTCTTTAGGGGAGACAAAATTTTTAATAATTATATTGTGATGGTTGCACAACCCTATGAATATACTAAAATCACTCAACACTTTAAAAGGATGATGAATTATATCTGAATTTTATCTCAATAAGGCTCTAAATATCAATTATAGATGGATTATTGATTATGAAATGCACAAAAATATAGCTCCTAGAAGCTACCACAGGTACTCAGAATAGGTAAATATTTCTTAAACAGGACACATAAAGAGAAGGATGGATAAATTTGTCTCCGTGACATATAAAAGCAACTGATCACCCCCAGGAAGACTCAATATTGTAAAAATTCCCAACATCCCACATTTATCTATAAAGTTGATATCATTTAAATTAAGATATTAACAGCTTTAGGTGTATGTATATAACTTAACAAGCTAAGCCTAATATTTATGTGGAAGGTCTAAGTGTCTTTAATAGGAAAAATTTGAAAAAAAAACAGGTGAGTGGACTTACTCTTCAAAATACCAACACTGAGTACAATTCTGTAGTAACTAAGGAGCATAGTATTCATGCAGGAATAGACAAGATAAGTCACAGAACAGATTCAAGAAAAAGACATACATCCATGACTGAGACGGAATTACAAATTCATGTACTTTTCATGGATAGGGTGGACTGTTCAATTAGTGGCA